GGGTCATTTGCAAGGGGAAATTCTGCGTGCCTTTTTTCTTCACATACCTCAATACTGCCGATGGATTATGCTTCTTTTAAATGATGACATTGAAAGCATATATTTTCTTTGCTTTGCTGCTCTATGTGCTGATATGTTTTATGAAATTCAGTACATTTCTTTATAGTATGCAACATACGAAATTGTTGCCATTTGTCTATCTGGTCACTCACATTTAAAAAATGTAAGCATCAATAAAAACAATTCGTCTACCAACCTCTACTAACGTCTACCAACCATTTGCAAACTTCTTTAAATCTAATAACGTACGTAATACAATTTGTTACCTCTATAGATATTAGCGTCATTAAGGCGACAAATAGCAAATACTGAACGCAACTGAAGTTTGTACATTACGACGATGGGTGGACGATTCATAACCAAAAGCGTCCGTTATTGGAGTTATCAGACGTGTTCGTTCGATACGTTTCATAAAAAATAACCATTTTTAAGAACATATGTGTATATAAAAAATACGTATTCAGGGAGATACTTATATACCATGTTTGGCTACAACTCATGTCTTTCAATTCTTCATAACTGACTGAAAACTGATGAAATCCTTAATGAAAACCGGCCGTTAAGCATGGCTATTCGTTACTTTATGTGACAGCGTTAAGTGGACAACAGTACAACGAAAACAGTTTGATTGATAGAAAGGACACTTATTGCCTGAATGTATTGTTATAAACTAAGAAGCTTAGCGATGACGAAAAAATATTTTCGACCAGAAACATCAATATATTAACATCCTTGTTTGTGTTCTATGATTTCTTCGCATCGACCAACTATTGTTTTGTGAATTGTTCAAAACGGACAGCTACTGACATCTATCTATCTATCATCTATGCCCAGACAGCGCGAATCATTAATTTGGATGTTCGGAGATTTAATTTGGATGTTTGTTCCCTTTTATAGATAAATTTGGGGGACTAGTAAGGGAGAGATTTCTTTATGGTTGTTTTGGGGGTTGTTCGGGATGTCTTGCTTTATTACAATTTTAACAAAATATTTATTACGTTTCAAGCGAAAAGTAAACGATTGTCGAAACTGAATAAACTGGTTCAATATCTGGACTGTCATGGATAGCAGAGTAATTTAACGTTGAATACACTTAAAACTAATATTTGCATATGTATCACATTAGATCCAGGACGTTTCACTTCGACGAATTAATGAAGTCAACGCATCAAATGAATTCGATTAATAAAAGTGAATAATTGGAAAAATAGCAAATCACGATGTCCTTTAGATTTTATTTGATTTTTTACAGTCGCTAAAGTTTATTCTTTAACTTATGACTTATGTGACCAAACAATAAAATGTCACTCATTGAAGTACTATAATTAAAATGGGAATAGGATGGGAAAACACCACCTGTTTTATCACATTTACAACATGGCTGTCTTAGACATCGGCCTGGAAAACCTTTGGGTGATGAGTCAGTGATGGCTGTGCGTATGCGCCCGCTCGCCGTTGCGCTGCTGGCCGCCCCGCGCCCGATGAGCCGCCCCGCGACCTTTGCCGCTGGCGGGCGGCCGGGGGTGGCTGGCGCCGACGCGGCGCGTTGCGGCGCGGCGCGACACCGAGTTTGGAGCGGCGGCGGCCCGCCCACCCCGCGCCCGCCGCGCGCCTCTTATTTGGGTAGGTGGCACACGATGATATTTCCACAAGATATGACCCTCCGCCTGGCCCCCATCCCTGACGTTGCACAAATGGCGCCAGAAAGGCATTCTCTCCACTTTCGCAGTCCCGCTGCAACTCGCCTCTACTCCCCACCCCTTTAGGACCTGCCTCTCCGTTTTATGTAGGCTACACGAGTCCAATAAGAAAAGGTTTGTCCGTTAGGATGTTGAAATCGGAGTTGCACAAGATTTTCGCAGGTATTAGTGAATTCTTTTGTACACTTCGATTTGGTTTCTTCTTTTGGATATTTGCGAATTTTGTGTTATACACCGCACATTCAACATTTTCGGAATCTATATTACAGAGAAAAATCACAAGTTAAATAACTGTCACTTGAGATCAACTAATACAATACTGTATAACAAACAATTGGAAAGAAAATAATTATCCCAAATTTTTTCAGCAAAATGCTTTATATACTCATTCAGGTGTATTTCTCATATCATCCCCATATATTGTAGGAAACATACATACGACTGTGAGAATGCCTCCTTAACAATTGTATTAACAGTATTGCCAAATAAAATCTATATTTTCAATATTAGTGTTGTAGGGCAGGTTAAAAAATAATTTGAACTTTGTCAACATAAAATTTAAATTAGAGTAATTTTCAGTTCAATTTAAAGAACTTTTAGTGAGAAAAAAATTGCAATATAAACAAATTCTAACTTAAATATTAAACGTGAAGAAAAATTCAAAAACAATTTACCTTTGCAATTTCCGAAATTCCAGAGTTCATAATGAAAAATGATTCTATATCATGCCATTAAGCCAAAATTGTTCTATTTGAGCAAAAAAACAGTGGTGCTGCAATGGCAAAGACAGTGGCACATCTTCTCGTACTAGTTAGTTTCCTTATCTTTTTACTCTGGGCTATCTATTCTGATTTTCGTATACAATTCTTAGCTGCAATTATTGGCGACTAAAACACTCTCTTTCAGATTCCTAGTTATATAATTTAAATATGACTTCAAGGATAACGTCTGGTCCTATTTGTTTATTTTCATTGAATCATTTCGAGGTGTTTTTACGAAAGTATCGTTCAACCGATTCTGAAAATACGCATTTTAATCTAATTTTCACACAAAATTTTCGAGTTGTCAGGAAACTTCTTAAGAAATCATTTCAAGCTCTTGAACTCACAAAGTACAACATATGTCCAAAAAAATATACATATTAACATCGTCAGAGACATAAAAAATAAAATATTTGTACTTTTTGAAAAAAAGGATACTCAATTAAAGAATGATGTCATTTTATTCAGTGCATTTAACACTACCCATAAAATAAAATAACAAAACGAAAAAATATTGAAGCCATTTTCAAGAAAATTTTTCATTTGTGAAAAACCGGAATTTTGAGCTTATTTTCACATAATGTTTCAATTTTCAACAAACTTTATATGGTGTCAATTATGGTACTAGTACTCACAGATGGAATAATGTGTACAAACCGCTAGTAATGAAAATATTAACTACATGTCAACATGTCAAAAAAATATATGTGTACTTTTTGAAGAAATCTCAACAAAGAATACAGAAAGAAATGCACTTTCTTTATTCTTTCATGATTTTTACATTGCCCATATTTCACTCAAAATCATGAGGAAACTAGTACAATTTCCAAAAAGAATGAACATGTTAATAATTAAAGAGATGATTGTAGAAAACGCGAAGACTACGAATAGTTTGGACGCTAGTGTTACTCACAGACGAACGGACACCCAGACAGACGAAAGAAATCCAGAAACATATGCTGTTTTTAGTGCAAGTGCATTTCACATTATTCTTACCTGAAATTTAATGAAACTCGTGGTGCTAAAACAGCATGTAATATGCCTTTAGCAATAGTTATGCAATACTATTTATACAACAATGTCTCTTTGAATTAATACATCTTAGTTATCACTATTGTAAAAGTTATTACAAATCATAGAACATTTGACACAAAAACTAAGTGTTTTCAAGCAAATATCCAGACTAATTTGACAATTATAACTGCTATCAATACAGTAAATTACGTCCCAACATTAAGACGTAATTCACAAAAATTAGCTCCCGAGACATTCTTGCTAAGCCACTGTAGGATTCCAATATATGATATTCCCTGAAGACCAAGAATTTTAATTTCATATATTTCAAATAAATTTAAAATAATTTGGATTAGATTAGAAAAATATTAATTTGTAAATGTATAACAAAAGGCCAAATGTAAGAAACGAACAAAGAAATTGACAGAGTGGTTTAGCCGCTAACGTTGTTCAGAGACAGACGGACGGATAGACATTTTGTCGCCAATTGATTTTTCTGTATCAAGAACCCACAAAATATGGATTCTGGCTAGACACCTATAGAAGGCGTTATTCTAAATTTAGCAACTGGTTTTATTCATTTTTGCGTTACCCTGTAAAACCTGTAAAAAGAGTTTTTCTTCTAAAATTCGCCGACTTTTCGCGCAGCATTATATAACTTTCTCTCTACTGGTGTAAACGGTAGACAGAAAGTAAACATTTATAGCCATTGTTGAGAAATATTGCATGTAAATTACCCCAAAAATTTGAAGAAAATTTTTCAAAATCGTAGTTTCGAGTCGAGCCAGATAGACTGGCAAATATTAAATTTGGAAAAAATTCTACAAATAGTTCGGGTGCCAGTGTTGATCACAAACGAGCGAATAGACAGACGGAGAGAGAAATGAACGTTTTCACCTCAATCAATTTTTCTCTATCGATGTACCAATAATCGTGAATTGTACAACACTATTAGGGCAAGTAATTTACTACATATTGGAACACAATTTATCCACTATTATGTAGGTATTTCTTCACATTTTCACCACCTCCACCACCACCACCATGTAGGAATTTCAGTTGAAACATTTGGAGTCGTTTTGAAAAAAAATACGTTTGAGCGTTTCTGAAAATGCTCATTTTCAAATAAAACTTTCGAGGTTTGAGAAAACGTCATTGATAATTGCTTGAATCATTTCTTCTCACAAAAGCAATAATGTAAACACACTGCTGGTAATGTAAATATTAACGACAAGAAAAATATTTTTTTAAAATCACACTTGTGTAATTGTGAAAAACAACAAAAGAATACATTAAATTGCCATTTTATGTCGCCCAGTTCCCGGCCAGATACCGTCGAGAACAGTTGTATCAGAGAGCGCCGAAGTTGTGTTTACGAGTGAGTGTCGCGAGGTTAGAACGGAATAGTGAAGTGTTTATCATTTTCACAGTATCTAATTATTAAAATTACCTTACTGGGAGATAGATATTGAGACAGCTAATAACATCATACCATGGACACGTCTGACAACAGGGGAGCAACTCGTCTACAACACCGAAAATCAACATGACCAAGTAAGGAAATCATATTCTACTGCTACTTCATCAGACGTTTTTCCTACGAAGGAACAATCTGTAATAATAGGATCACAAGAGGGACTATCTATCAAAGACTATATTTATAAAGTTGCCACGGTTGTATGTGCTAACGACATAAGAGTCATATCTCGTATCGGTAACAACATAATATGTACATTCTTTGCCAATCAAGAGATTATCAATTATTTCACATAAAATCACAAAATTATAGAAATAGAGGTAAAATATCAGTGAGACCATTTGTTAGTAAACACAAAAGGGTAATAATATTAAATGTTTGTCTTATCATTCCCCAAGAAATAATGGAGAAAGAATTTAGTAATAGAGGAATTACAATATCTACTAAAATATCCTTTGTAAAATCTGTCATATCAGAACCTGTTTTTTCTCATATTATCTTTTTGAAGACTAGTATATGTTGTTCCAGAACACCTAGAAAAACTAGCCAATTTTATACTTAAAGTCTCAAATCAAGGTTCATCATATAAAATATTATTTTATTCTGGTAATATTGCTTCATCTGCAATACCTAATATTTATTCCTTGATCTGCAATGGCAAGGGTCACATTACAAACCAATTGCCATCAAAAACACAGAATAGTGATTCATTAGAAGATTATTTTGTAATCAGATCATTGAAGGATATAACAATTTAAAATATTTTAACATTACCTGAAGCTCGTAATCAAAATATAACCCCAATGTTTAACAACATACAATTTCCTACTCTACACAAAAGAGCCTTCCCCTCTGACTCATCTAAAAAAATACAAAGTAATAAAATAATTGATGATGATAATAATAATAAATAATAATTCTAATGAACATCAAAAAATTCAACCAATAAAAAACAGAAAGCAGGAAACTGTGTAAAACCTAAATCCCAACAAACCACAGATAGTAAAAAAAGTAGAAGAATTTATTGCACCAGCTAAATGTGCTATTAAAAATAATGTAGATAAACTTCCCTTAAAGTATCAACGATCCTGAACGTTTCTAGAAAACTATTTTGGCGCTAATGATACTACAATTGTTGCTAAAGACTTTACAAATGATTTGCAAGCTTTAATAGAAATGATAAGAAATATACTCTTCTTGAAGAAAGAGCTATTAGGAACAGATTTGCCAGAATAATAGGTAGATTTAAAAAAAGCAACTTAACAGAGGATACAGACACTACAGAAGAATAATTTAAATACATTCAGTGTAGACAATCTATATTAGGATATATTCACTCAATATATTCCTCTCTTTTCACATAAATAATTGTTCCTAACCCAAGCTGTTTTGCAATAAATTTAATCATGAAACTTAAATGGATTTTACACAAGAATTTAATATTATAAATTATTACAAAATGATTATGATCCAGCTGTTTTATGCCTTCAAGAAATCAATTTAAAAAACAATCAAATACGAAAATTAAAAGGTTGCTTTCAAACAAATCAACCAAACTGTGTACATGTCAGTGGAGGAGTTACTATTTGGTTAACAATAATATTGAAGCTCTATAAATGTATCTACAATCATGAAGTCATAGCAATGGCATGTCATGTTTGTTTGGGTAAACAAAATAGTTTCTGCCAGATGAAAAAAAAATTAATTATTTTCGGATACAACGTGTAGGTGAATATTACACTAACATCATATTTAACCCAAAAATTATACACGCAAGAATAAGTGAAATAGTATAAACTGTATAAGATGCAGGAGATATTTTATATGGAATATATTCAGCTGACTCGGTATGCGCCTGATCTGGAATATATTCAACACGTCCATATTGTGTGAAATATGTGAAATATTAGAAAGTATAAAAACAATAATTTCTCAAAAATGGATTCAACTTTTTCCTTTAAACGTTTGGTAGTGTTGTTGCTAAAAGTTCTGTAACAGATGACATTAAAGCCATTTTGCTGTATTCTTACTTCTATTTCTCCCTTCAAAAATTACATAATAGTAAGTTTTTTGATTTCTCTCTCACGTAGTTAGTTACATTATCGGCGACTTGTGCACATGATTGCATTGAAATCACATGAACATCCAACATGTGTCATAATTGTAGTAAAAACATCAAATGAAAACTAGTGGTGCTTCAACAGCACTTACTTTCTCATAATATTGTTAATGGTTATGTAATATTATGTGATGATTTTTTTTTACCCTTCACCCACCATTGGCAAAATTCTAAAACAAATGAAGCGCGAAATATACATATATTTTTACTTTCCCGTATACATACGTACATACTGAGTAATTACGTAGTATAGAGAAAGTTATGAAATGCTGCGGAAAACTGGTTTGGAGATTTCAACGGAAATACACGTTTTGGGTCTCCTGATAACTAAAATGTATTTTTTCCAAAACGTCTGTCCGTCCGTCAGGCCGTCCGTTCGCCTGTCTTGGATCCGTCCGTCGGTCCGTTCGTCTGTCCTTCCGTTGGTGCGTCCGTCTGTCTGTCTGTTCGGCCGACCATTCATGAAAACTGCTTGCACCTAAACCGTGCCTAGAATTCTTCACAAATTGATGAAACCCCTGTCCTAGCTGGAGTCGAAGCCGTGAGATTTTGGAAAATATTCTTTAAAATTTGGGAGTACTTTACATGAAGCCCCCCGGACATATTCAAAATTGCTTCAAAAATGGCCCAAAATTTTTCCATTAAATTTCTGGATGAGAATAGAGTAAAATACTCTTATAAAGGTGTCATACGCCAGATTTTCACGGTTAACTTTGTTTTTTTTATAATTGCAAATTTTCATCTCTTCTTTCGGATCTTCATACAACTATACAACTGAAGAAAGAGATTTTTCCTTCAATTAAAGTTTGTTCTTTATTGTACTATATTTCATTGTCATGGATATTTTTTTAAAAACTTCTGTAGTTTTTGCGAAGTATTGCGTGCAATATCTGAAATTTTTAAAAAATTACAAACACATGTTTTTTGAAACGGCTCAACATTTTTTCATGAAACTTTTGGTACGGATAGTACTAAATGTGCTCTATGAAATGACACAAATCATCAGTTTGTTCTATTTTGTTTTTGTTTTTTCAAAAATTCCAAAAATGTAATGTAACAGTACTGTGGATTTTTTTAGGACAAAACTTAATTTCTCATAGCTTTGAAGGAAAGAAACAAATAATTTTGAACGGAAGGACTTCCCCTGAATTACAAAAGAGTACACAAGTAAAGACCTGCCAAGGAATATAGGTGTTGTGGTGCGTTAACGGTGGCATTGTTCATGAAATAATTATAAACGTCATTGCCAACAATAGTTACTATTGTTGGCAATGACAACGTTTATAATTATTTCCTACCAAGGAAGTTTATCATTTTTACACAACTCTTGAATTGCTTACTGAATGTCCAAAAGTGCAGAAACTATTCTGTTGGTCTTGCCTTCTCTTTTCCAATGAAAAACATGCAAGGCACACTGGAGGTTACAATGATATAGGAAATATACATAACGCTTTAAGAAACGACATCATTTATCGCAAAACCATCTCCGCTCGAAAATTTAACAGAAGGCATTCGGGAAAGGTAGAATTAATCACATGTTGGATTAACATACAATGTAACAAAACACAATGTTTTTACTACAATAATTCTACTGCGTAAATATGCTACCCAACTGCATTTGCATTTTTTCTCAAACACATTTTTTATTGCTATATGTGCTTTCTTAGAATAAAGTTTCAAAACCAATTTTATGGCGATTAAAACATGAAATAAACATATTCAGAAACGTCACTAAGCGACCGTGTTACAATTAATTTTATGAATTCGTCTTGATCCTGATTTATTTCCCATCACATCCTGAATTCTGGTGTAACGTTTTGCAAAAAGCTTCTTCTTTTGTTCCTTAGCAACCTCTTGTTCTCGTTACCGATTTCTTTCAATTGCTTCAAAAAGAGAACAAGGCTTCTTTTGCTACACACTTAAATATTCCCGCGTACTAGCTGAGTATGATTCTTGTGTTAGCAAACAGATCGCGCCACTTGCTAAGAACATGCTTCGAATGTTTCCGGCCACGTCGGTAGTACACGGCGAATTGCAAAACGGTCGGTGTAATTTTCGGAGTATTGAGACCTTCACCAATTCCATAAACATTGCATCCCCTCGTCAGACATTGAGTGTGTCGTTTGTCATTGACACTCTCAATTTCAGTTGTCCCTCTAGGATTATTCCATTTATATTGTTTATGTAATTCGTATGTTAGACTAAGATGGGATAAACTTGGATAAATGCGAGTCTAGAGTAGTAAATGCAATTTATTAAGATGTAAAATATTAATTTTGGCGTAAAATATAAATATACCGATTGTTGATTAATGTTGAACAAAAATAAAATTACTTTGGTGCTATTGAATGTATCCTAACACCATTATTATAAAGAAAATAAATAAAATAGGGCCTTGTTATCAGAAGAAGATATTTTCAAGCCTGTAACTTCAAAAGGGTTAATTCTACTGCAAAGTATTGTAGGAAATTTTGTGTATTTCACTTCATATAGAACATATTTTTAATAGGATTGATAGTTACGGTGATGTATGCGAATTCGTAGACAAACCACTCTGGAACGGCTCCTCACACTTCAGGACATTTAAGATGGGGTGCAATAGGTACCAAGGAACGCGTATGCCGAATTTCAAAACTCTGAGTTTTCTTCCTCTTAGAAGTCGTTTGAAGGGTTCCCGAAAGAAAGTAATGGTGCATCAAAATGGTGCTTTTTTTTTTGTTTAGCCGTGTTGAACTTCACGGTTTTGCCTCTTCTTCTCAGTTTCGAACCATATGGGGCTAAAGGCCCCTGGGGTCAGACTGCTCCCATGGGAACATTGTGAGGGGGCACCCTGCCACTCCCCGAACAACTGACCTTTTAACGTTTAGGCGGCCTTCACTTTTCTATGACGTGCGGTTTTTAATGTATGAGTGTTTAATCTATTAAATTAATCTATGATATTCAATATAATAATAACCC